CTGTGATGTTGCTTTTTATCGAAATCTCTGGATTCTTTCTCGGTCTATCGACAGGTGGCCCCTGTGTGTGGAAGGGGAAATGTTAGGACAAAGTGTTAGGTGGCGCGACTGGATAACCGTTCAATCTGGCAGAAGAAGCACCGCTTCTTTTCTTTTGATGACAACAAAGACCGTGATCTGAGAATGTGGATATGTTTGAAAGTATCCAGGAAGGGAAGAATAAACGTGTCGCAGTTTGGGCGCAGGGCTCTTTCAAGCTGCGTTCAATGCACATACAGATCTCAGTTCCTCTTCGGGACTGGGCCTCCGCTCCGAAGCCTTGGCGCCGTTTAAGACTGTCACATCTAGCTCCTTTATTTTTGCCACGACAGCTCTCATGCTCGAACCAGGGCGATGGGAGAAAAAGTTTAGAGGAAGAGGTTCGAAAACAGGAGCTGACTGTAAGGTAGTCAATTCTTATTCATATGACAGAAGAAGAAGGAGAAGTAGGAAACACGTATGAGGCACTAGTAAGGAGAGTATCACCTTGGGTATCACAGCTCATATTATCAACCACGCCTCTTCGGATTATTCCGCAAGCATTCCGGGTTGAAGGAAATGTTAGGTTGGAAAGAAAGTTTTGTCAGTGTTTCTTGGGAAGTATAATATTAGATTCTTGATGCTCGAGCTTGACGCAACACGCTATGCTTGTATAACATTCTAGGGGCTTTCCAGCAAGGGGCACATAAAGACACCTGGCCTTCCCTGGGTTTAATTACAATGTCAGTTTCACAGGAACAGCTTCGAGTCATTATCTTCTTTGAGTGGTGCCGTGGCACTGGAGCGACGGCAGCTGACCGCAACATCAACAGTGCATTGGGGGAGGACACCACTACCATCAGGACCGTCCACCTTCTGGTTCGCTCGCTTCGCGAAAGGAGACACGATCCTCGAAGACAAACCTCGGTTGGGACGGCCCCACGAAGTGGAAGACTCCACCGTTCTCGAAGCAGTCAAGGGAGATCCGGAGGCTGCCACCCGCAGCCCTGATGACTCGGATGTTCCTAACTGACAGCTGTCAACCGCCTGTGAGCCTTCCGCTATCGAAAAGTAGTGGCTCGATGGATCCTCATACCTTGACGAGTGACACACTATGCACCCGGATACTAATTTCTCAGTCTCCCCTTCTCCACCTTCGTCAAAAGGTGTTCTCAGGAGACCGGTCAGTGGTGAGAGAAGGGTCCTCTGTGATTTCAACCCACACAGTACCGTGTGTCTCTCTCAAGGAGAAGACCCATCCTAGCAGTCCAAACCGGGCATTATTCCGAGAAGGTTCTCCTGTGCTGCTTCTGGACGCGAGGGGATTGCTGCACAACGAGCTGCCCATGTGAAAACACACGGTCATCGCTACCATTTGTCCCGCTCAGCCCAGAAACCCATGGAAAATGTTGAAGAAAAATGACCGAGAGCTTCGTTGCACCTCCATCGTGGTGACGCGAAACCATACTGCTATGGGGACCTACCAAGTGATGGAAGAGCAAGGCTGGGAGACCAGATCCCGCTCATCATATTCTTCTGACATGGTCCCCTACGACTGCTTTCTGTTGCGAAAACGAAAAAAGTTGCAGCAAACAGAGCTCCGTCAGTCTAATGCAACCACATATACTGAAGATGGCCTTTGGAAATTAACTTGTATGATGTTGACTTACAGCACTCCCTACACCGCTTACATGCGCGGAGATCGCAGAGCATGCGAACGCCCTAGGGAACTTTGTAAGTTGAAATCAGTTTTGAAGGCTGCGCGGACTCATCTGCAGTTCTTTGGGGAGGGGGGAGGGTGGGGAGGGAGCTTATCTATTAATACTTTCTTCTTTCCTCGAGCTATCCTTACTTTTCTCTTCTCCCCCTTTAGGTTTCTCATTAATTTTTCCAGTCACTTCGTATGCAGTGGAAAGCATAGGGATAATATGAAGTGCATTTGAATATACTGCCACCTAAGCGGCGATGGAGGAACAGCCGATCACAAGGTTACATGAATTCCATTGGAGAGATTGGAAGGCTGCTCCCTGCAACCACTTACATTCATGGATCCGAGCGCTTCATTTTTCTGAACCATCACCGCAATTTAGTCTTCTCGGCAAATGTTACCTTAACTGCTTTATTGAATGCAGCTCCTCATGGAACAGTTAGCTGAATGCTGCTGACAGCGATGCGACAGCCGAGCTTGCTAGAATTAGGAGCCTGGAGGCAGCAATGGCAACTTGAACCTTGCTGATTCACGCCGACGGCTCAAGTTCGTGGCACTCATCGTGGACTTCCCTGCAATCAATGAAACTCATAAGAACATCTGCTCACTAGATCGATTACCCTATCGATTGATGCTAGAGGCTAAATGCTTACCGTGCTACTGATATTCGTCGAGGGTGTACGCAATTTGCGACAGCTACATTTATTAGTCCCTTTTCGGGCAGCTGTCAGTCAAAACAGAATGTGCCTCGGAGGCAATGCGGCAACCCTTTACCAATCTGCAGCCGCTTGAGGCTGAGAGATACCGCGTCTCTGAGTGGCATTTTCAGCGTAGGAGCAGTGGCCACCGGCAGGAAACAGACTGTATCGTATGCGTGAGTAGCACCACTAGGCTCACTATGAATTAGAAATCTCTGAGTAATGTTACAATTTTACTTCTTTGCCTTTGTGTTGGAGTATGCCACTACAGGGAAACATGTTCTGGAAAAACTGCCTATCGCATCTCAAACGACTCTCTTGAAAAAGTAAAACAGCTCACAGCGATTTCTTCAACGCTTTGTTAATTTCGACCTTCGAAAAGAAGAAAGCTGAGTGGACCTGCACTTGGATATTATTCTGAGTTTTTGCTTGTGGTAAGAGTAGGTGTTCCGAAAGGTAATGTGACCCCTCCTTTTACGAAATATTCCTTTAAGTGGTTGCTCCGAGGTAAATAGAATAATCCGCAGTAGTGGGCTCCTGAACCTGTGTTGTAAATAGTATTTATATACCATTTTCACTTTAAATCGGACACTTTTCAAACCAAATCGGACACTTTTCAAACCAAATCGGACACTTTTCAAATCAAATCGGACACTTTTCAAACCAAATCGGACACTTTTCAAACCAAATCGGACACTTTTCAAATCAAATCGGACACTTTTCAAACCAAATCGGACACTTTTCAAATCAAATCGGACACACCCCTTACAATTAGGTGGTTGATAACTAGACCACACTAGGTACTGTTGCAAGCCCATTATCCCGCCCACTTCTCAGCGCGGACAGGGTTTTCCGAGATGCTTCATGAAATCTGCTCCCTCGACTTTTTTTCGTTTTTGCCCTTTGCACACACACTTCAACTGAAAAAGATTGATACCTATACAGATCTGACTCCGCCCACTTAACAATGAAGTTACGTAAGTTCTGAATTTTTATAACTTTTTCGACGTAGTTCTTTTCACATCCAATCTTCACAAAACGAATAACCATGCACAGCACACCAGGCCCCGCCCCTCTGACCCCGCCCACTTGTGTTTATCGCGGAATTTTGGTTTTCTTCCGGATTTTCGCTTTTTTAGGCTTTAGCGATTGGCTCCGCCCACCAATGGAAGCTCCGCCCACTTTGGGGAAGCCCCGCCCACTTTTCGAAAATGATGCAAATCGGCGGGCTAGTGTCCGTACTGGCGGATTACGGCCTCTCCCGTCGCTCAGAACAAAGTTTCCCTACGGACACTAGCCCGCCGATTTGCATCATTTTCGAAAAGTGGGCGGGGCTTCCCCAAAGTGGGCGGAGCTTCCATTGGTGGGCGGAGCCAATCGCTAAAGCCTAAAAAAGCGAAAATCCGGAAGAAAAACCAAAATTCCGCGATAAACACAAGTGGGCGGGGTCAGAGGGGCGGGGCCTGGTGTGCTGTGCATGGTTATTCGTTTTGTGAAGATTGGATGTGAAAAGAACTACGTCGAAAAAAGTTATAAAAATTCAGAAGTAACTTCATTGTTAAGTGGGCGGAGTCAGATCTGTATAGGTATCAATCTTTTTCAGTTGAAGTGTGTGTGCAAAGGGCAAAAACGAAAAAAAGTCGAGGGAGCAGATTTCATGAAGCATCTCGGAAAACCCTGTCCGCGCTGAGTGGGCGGGGATAATGGGGCGGGGCTTGCAACAGTACCTAGTGTGGTCTAGTTATCAACCACCTAATTGTAAGGGGTGTGTCCGATTTGATTTGAAAAGTGTCCGATTTGGTTTGAAAAGTGTCCGATTTGGTTTGAAAAGTGTCCGATTTGGTTTGAAAAGTGTCCGATTTAAAGTGAAAATGGTATATACTAGATGAGCAAGCATCTCAGTGCAGCAAAACTATTGCCCATTCCTACCAATTTGGCTGATTCACAGCACCGCGTACATCACACGGAGAACCCTGCGGACTCATTGGCTAGTGACATTTGAGTTTCACCACTTAGCCCCGTATTTGTGCGTGATCTACCTCTTCCGTTTCTATTCTGATTAATGCTCAATAACTCTGACTCATGAGCCCTGACTTGGTGTGCGGTATTCTGTCGGTATGTATGTTTCTCGGGTTTGTATGTCCGCTAGCGATAGTATCGATAGTGTTATACTGGGAGCGATAAAAAGATGACCTGTAGCAAATAGGAAACCACGGCCGTTTGAAATGGTGGCGTCTAAACAGCCGGTATGAGGGTTTTGTCTAGGGTTCTGTATGTGAAAAAGGGGGCACGGTGGCTGCAAGGGGAAAAAACCAGTGATCCGTAATTCGTGTTTCAATAAAGATCTGCCAGTTGTTCAAATCAAGGAATGTTTGGTAGTGAAATAAGTTCATATACTAGTGATGTAGAAATTTGATTGAAATCTCTTTACATGATGATACTCGAGGTTGTTCAATTACGAGCAATGTGGAGAAGAACCTTTGTTCGCCACATCTTATCACTAACGATTCTGTTGTCAGTCGATATCATCGCACCATTTATCAAATGGAAATTCATGTCAACACGACGAACTAAGCAGCGAATTTTAATGACAACTGCCTTCTAGTGCACCTTGTTAGATTTTATCAGCTGTAGTAACTTTATCACCCAATATGGATGTTTTCGCCACACCCCTGCTACATGAGTACTCGAAATTTTGTGCATATTCGTTATGAAAACCTATGTGCATAAAGCTACAGGACAGCGGCTGCCGAAGCATTAAAAGAACATGCAGTCCTACAACGCCATGCGGGCGCGAGAGTACAAAGAAAAGCAGAAATCTTGCACAATCAAGAGAAGTGGGTGCAAGTTCCGCGAATCCCCCCACCCCCGTCCTAGGTTTTTGGCCGGGAAGGCGAGCGCTATGAACATCTCAACTACCGGGCGCACAGACAGAGACACGCAAAGGCATGCATAGCGATATATTTAGATCATGAAGCAGCTGCGCGCGAGGCATCATGAGTTACAGTCCTCAACAGCTGAATCGATGGGGCGTGTGAAGAAGTGTGACGTGAATTCTGAAGTGGGGTCAGCACGCTTTCCTCCGGCCATGGCTCTCATGGCTCATGTGGATGGGGTTGCGCGCAGGTGAAACGCGGAACCGCCTGTCAATACGTATCAACTGTGAACAATGCATGAGGGAGTACATTCAGTATTTATTGAGAAATCACTTTCATTCTCACTGAAATTTGATTACAGACCTTGAACAAGCGGGCTATGACACAGCAGTCTATTTGCGATATCAACGCCTTGCCTTCTCCGTTTGCTGGACGAAATGCTGAGGTATGCAAATGGTGAAGCAGTTTCATGTTTGTCTATACCTTGATTGTATGATCTTAAAATCTGGTCGTGTCGAGTCCCTTTCTGGGGCGAGGTTTTATTGACCCGTCCGACATCTCCATTGCAAGGTTGTGCCTGCCAACAGCATACGCTCTTGAATCGTTGGTGAGGAGTAGAGAGGAAAAGTGTTAGCACATATAGAGGAAGGAACTTGTATGGTATGATGCCGAACTCGATATCTTGAAAAAATCCACAAAATGTATGTGGGCGGGTGGTTCTCTGGGTGAAAAAACGCTTACATCCGTACCTCCCACTGCTGAAGTGAACTCTCTGGTTCTCTGATATGGTATTTGGTTGAATTTTTATCATCGATTTCTGGTATTCACTACAGGTGAAATGTCCTTCTCATAGCTTCATTTCTAAACTCCTCCTATTCGGAGCTTTCGTTCCCTTGAGCGTTTTGATCCAAACTACGCTCTTTCCAGCCTGCGGGCCGCAAGAAGAGGCGTGAATTCTCAGAGGACTCAAGATACGATCTTGCTTGTATTCCAGACCCATTTGTTAACGAAGATGTAAGAACGTTTTCTGGAGTCGTAGTTATGATTAGCTGGAGCAGGTGGCCGCAGTACGTAGGGCCCGCACCAACTGCTAAGCGGGCCGTAGAATGCCGCTTTACTCTATATGGCACAAAAAATTAAATGATGGGAAAAACGGTGACGGTTAGGACGGTCGATACATTGGGATGTGGTCACCATTCATCTGGTTGATGTTCCGCTTGTTTAAAGGTTGAGTCAGTGTTCCTTGTATCATTACAGTGAGACTGGTAAGGGGGGAGTTTCCTCTAAAGGGTGATTAGGGTATTGCGCGCTGGAGCTGTTGATTGTTAAATGTACCTAGCATCTTGAGCATTTTCCGCAACTGCATTTTTTGTGGACACACAGAAAACCCATTTGCTAGAGCATTCGTTCTTCAATCATTTCACCTAAATCGTGCAACAGTGTTGCAAATCTCAATCCTACAACTCAATCCCTGTTTGCAAAAGGGTCAGAGTTGGTACATCCGAAAGATGGGAGACCCGAGTAAAGCTCCCTGAAAGAAGAACGATGTTGCAGACGCGCACTACCTATCTGAATTGCCGCATAGCTTTCTTGTCGCCGCAACTCGGATCCCATGATTAATCCACCAAGGAGAATTGATAGATGTACGATATGATTAGGCTTTGAATCTGGGACAGTTCCTTCCCGGACGGCGTAAAAACGCTAACACCTACGATCACATCTCCAGTTCGGATCAAAATTTCAGCAGGGAAAAAGCTGATAATTGCGTGTTTCATGCGCTCAGAAGACTGTGAATTATTCTACAATGGAAGTAGAGTATCCAGACATGTGGCTCAAAAAGAAGCTCAAATGCTCATCCTGCGCATGCCTCCTGTCAGACAACACCTTTTCCCAAGATTAATCATGAAGAAAAATACGATAGGACCTGACTGAATTCGTTCTGACCTGGTGGAATCATCGCCGCCTTCTTACCTTTATCATGACTTGTTTCGTCCACGTGCCTTTTTTATTCGCTTTTGGCTTTTTTTCCATATTACAGTTCCGGTTCCAGAAAATTCAAGGTGCTCCTCAACCTACGGTCGGTGAGCTTTCGTTCTCGATCTTAACTATTTTTTCATAGAGTTCTTTCAGAGAAGCAATTACGCTGCCGGAGTGAACCAAAGCGAACACGTATGTCTTTGCACTGTTGCTTTCTTTTCTGTCGTTCAGCAACTGCTCTCTTTATACACTCACTCAGTGACCTTGTAGGTATCAAGTCACTACGCGTTCGACTATCAGCCCCATGCCAGCGAGGCCGCTATTAAAGTAGTGAGTAACATTAGGATGATCTAGTGACATTAACATTTTTAGATGATTATGTACATGAATCAAGTCTTGACTTGAAATACGAAAGCTTGCGGCTTTCCTAATCTGTTAACTTTTGTGTTCTCCGTACCTGTCCGTAATTTTTTTGGGAAACTCCAGGTTAATTCCAATACGCCATCATACGAATCTCTTGTTCTGATTTTGCGACAGCGTTTTTGGAAACAGCAACCTCGCCTGACTCTTGATAGAGAGCATCATAGAAACCTACTATTAAAAGAAGACGGATCATGACAAAAGGGAGCAATCTGAGACTCACAAGCAAGAAAAACACTACTGAAAATTGCCCAGAGGAAAAAGACTAGATGAAAAGAAAGCAACAATGCTGCAGAATTGCACGGCGAAGCAGCCGGACATTATCGAAGGCGATTTTGTGGCGTTGGTACACTGCTGTCATGTCTCTATATTCTTGATTCTCCTACTCCGATGAAGTTTGTCCCACCCGCAATAACTACAATTGTTGCAATAATAATGAAGATGCAACGCTTATAGTCTCTATTAACTCCAACGAGATTGGAGGCACAACTATTTCGTGACAGACTACGATTCTCTACCGAATTCTCTAATTACTATCAATTTCAGGATTATCGCGCGCCTTCACCAAATCCTAGCCATCACAGTCCTCATCACAGGCATCATTATGTGTTGGTGAGTCTTCGAATTTGCTAGTCTGTTTCTCTGTATCAACTAACTTTAATGTTTCTTCAACTGACTTTGACTGTTTGAGCAACTTTAACTTGGGCTGAACTTAACTGCGCTTTACTTCACCTTTCAGCCTGATTCAGCTTACGATTACACTCCATATGGTCAGACATATAGACATATTCCAGTGGGTGTTTGTTTTAACATAATGAATTCAACCATGTCCTCTCTGAGTACATAATTTCAGACACATTCTGATTATGACTACTCGGGATATGCGCAGCCGTACATGCAGCCGGCTTATTACTATCCACCATATTACATGGCTCCATTTACGCAGCCACCACAGGTTAACCTTCGATTAAAGATCTGCTTAGAAGCAATAGTATGACTGACCCACAGAAGTGGGGGTGCCCAAAACGACGAGTACAATAATAATCCTTTTCAAATTCGCAAAACGAAAGATTGCGAACTGCTCTCTCAGTAACAGTTTATTGAAGGATGTCTTTACAAGACATATGATTAGTATACAACACTTCCAAATTTCTTCATCGATCGGGCTAGAGAAAGAACAAAATAGAAAAGTCTTACCCCTAGGATGTCTAGCCCACGGGCAATGCTCTTTTTGCTAACTCTATTTCTGAGTGAAACCACCGATGAAGTGTCCACTGAATTTACTAAGCGTCACTGGATGATTCGCCCTGAGCATTGATAGAGTGAGTTAGAGAGTTGTGGTACCATGACTCTGATCGCTAATAATTTTCGACCTATGCTATGAAGCTGAGTGCTGCGAGAATTCAAGGAAACATGACACTTAGAGGCATTTCCAAGGGCAGAGAGATGGATATCGACAAACTCGACCAGGCCTTTCCTATTACTTTTATCTTGAAAATGACTGGTGTGCATCAGTGTTTGTCGCGACCAGACCCTTATGTTGTTAGGCTGTTCAAATTGCTCACAATTTCCTGTGTTTCCGTTATCTTCTTTACTTGTTTAGCAAAGGCCTAGACTTTCAGGCAACTTTAACAAGTTATTTATAACGGAGAGGGGGGCAACGTCTAGCCAGCGCCCTGAAATAAACCGTTCAGCGAGCATTCTGCTCTTCTTAACCGGACCTACTTTTAGGGCAGTAGAATAAGGAGACTTCATGGTTCAGCCATGATGTCTTCTCGGGAAATAGCATCGCCTTCACAAGCTCTTTTATAGCTTTTCTTAACAATCCTGCGAGTTGCAGAGCACCATATTATAGGTTACTTTAGCACTAGCAGTGAGACTTACTCAATATCGCCTTTCACTGAATTCGAATTGGGCGCTGAAAGCTCGCACCTCCTTGAACCGCTTGATAATTGCCATCACAGTCCTTTCCTTACGGGCGGTGGTTCAACAAGTGTTTCGATACTGATAGACAAATCATCCGATAGCATTACTGTAGATTGCTACTTTATTACTGGAAAAATAAAAAAAAACTCATGCGCTGCATCATGCGACCGTAATTCATTGGTTCAGTACCACCCACTTTTCGATGTTCCCACTGCGCTTTTCCTTTACATACTCAGCCTTTGACTATATCGCTTCAGAATAGAAAAGTCTGAAGAGTGTGAAATTACATAAGCGGTGAGCGCACAGGTGATTCTGTGTAACGCTTTCTTGTGACAAACTTTGTCCTCCACTCTTCCATGTTGGCTAATACTCCACGCCCGCCCCCCCCCCGTACTTCTGTGTCACGAATGAACCATGGGAAGAGCTGAAAGCGAGTGACAAAAAGTTATGCGCGAACCAGCTGATTTTTCAAGCTCAGTATATCCAAGGAGACATAAGAGGTCACTGTTCGGATGTAGTGGTAATGATGAAGAAACAGCGACCACCAATAAAAAAAGGGACAAGAATAAATGCGAAATTAAACGATTGTCGTCAGTAAAGGGATGAACAAAATTGCAGTGAATAAGTACACAGTGGTGACGGTACTCGGTTCCTGATTACTTCATTCGTACATTGGCAACTCGTCAAACGGATGATTCTAACTCCTGATGCCGAACCGCTGCTACGCAAACACGCCAACAGAGAGGCGTATGTTCAAGAGTATCGAAGCAGCAAAGTGTAAAGGAGTGGGAATACAGTAATTCATCAGTTGATAGATAAATAGCACAATAATAACGAGACATATGTGTGAATACGGCTATACGATATAAATAACTTCCAGGCAAATCCGTTTGGTTACCACTATCCACCTCCTCAGTATCCTCCTATCTGGTACGGTTATCCACCTGCTCCGATGCAACACATGGGACCTCCACCCAATATGTACCGCCGTCATATTTCGCCAATGGTAATGTTCCTAATTTTTTGGCTCGATATGTATATGCATGCTATATGCATGCTCACATGAGTGTCTATGCAAGCATGTCTGTATGCATAAAAAAGGGTAGGGAATGGGCATTCTCTAGTTGTGACGACATTGGAGGTCACGCACTCATGCTCTCGTGCCCCCAGATTTTCTATGTTCGAGGGTTGGATTGTTCTATTGAACTTTTGACATATCCGCCTGGTTATGGCCTTGCTCTTTTGACTACGCGTTGACCACCAATCCTGTGAACGCATTTCTTTGCTTCCATGCAAGCGGTGTTCAGGGGCGGTTGAACACAGATAACTGTCAAACAGGTGTAATGGTAGACATCCCTAATGTATTGGCAACGCTCTGACACTATTTTCTGGACCCTCAAGGTGAGCGTTGCCTCGCCTCCAAACAGCTCTACTGCCTTCTCCGAGTGATGTGCGCCTGAAGTCTAACCACCTGTATCATAGTGGCCTTGATTGCACAAGGTTAGATCGCTTCAGTGAGGGACCGGCAGTGAAGAGCAAGCAAGTCAGGGGTCAGAGTGGGCGCACAGCTGGTAACGCATATGCAATTTTTGCGCTTGGAGTAACTTTACAACAAGAAGAAGGTACCCTATTAACTATTAATCATTTTGATGCAGCTGGGAAAGAAGGTAGCGAGGTGGAACCTTGAAGACTAAAGCAAGAGAGGGCGGTACAGCAAAGTTTCAGTGGTGTAACTAATCCTCGGTTACCACACAGGATGCTATTCGTGAAAGGGATGAGGCGGACAAGAACGAAGAATATCCTGTGACACTGGATAACTCGTCCTTGAAAACATTAGTTCTTCCGCTGATTACTGTACAGTGTTATCTGCGGTTTCGTAGATGAATGTACAAGGCCCTGCGCGCAATTTTGGATCTCAAAAGTCTTCTGCTGATCATACAGCTTTGTGATTGACTCTGTGTAGTGAATTCACGCGCGGTGACTCTGTTGTGATAGAAGGAGCTAAGGTTTTGACCAAATGACTTCTTCAGAAGCCTGTACTTGTTATTGATGTTAATTTACGCTCTATGTTAGTGAGCGCCTCGTAAAGTCTCTCACTGTCATGTTCTGTATTATCCGACTCGACATCAATTCTAACGCGCAACACTTTGCAATGAACTGCTTTCTAGACAAGAGACCGGAACACACATCACAAACGCACTCTCACTCGATTACTGACTGACCGGCTCACCAAGTTAAACGTGTGAGTGCTGTAAGGCTACGGCATAAGCCGTTAAGCTGAGAGGGTGAAATAGGCCCTGGTGGCGTAACGGATAGCGCACTCGCCCGGAAAGCGTGAGGTGCGGGTTCGACTCCCGCCTGGGGCACGACTTTTGCCCATAACTCAGCATTCTTGTGATAACTTTCGTAACGCGTACTGCGGCGTAAAACAGCAGTTATCTAATAAAACGACTTCAGCACTACGAAGACTTCCCCACAATCTTAAGGTCAGCCTGAATAGCTTTCACAAGAATGCTGAGTTATGGGCAAAAGTCGGACCACGGACGGGATTCGAACCCGCATCTTCTGCTTTCCGTGCAGCTGCGTTCCCTATTTTTTTTATTTTTTTAAAAAACGATTTTTTTTTTTTTTTTTTTTTTTTTTTTTTTTTTTTTTTTTTTTTTTTTTCCTATTACGCTACCGAGGCCACTTTTGACCACTCAGCTCAATGGCTATTTGTGCCATTACCTTCAAGCACTCACACGTTCAACGTGATGAGCCGGTTAGCCGATATCGGCAGTGAACCGCAAGGCCGAAGGCTTTTTACAAGTTTCAAGCTGTTTTTGTTTGTTAACTGCTGTTTAACCAAAAGTGGAGTCGGTAGCGTAATAGGGAACGCAGCTGCACGGAAAGCAGAAGATGCGGGTTCGAATCCCGTCCGTGGTCCGACTTTTGCCCACAACTCAGCATCTTGTGAAAGCTA